TGTATGTTAATGCCAACTAATTTGTGTGTGAAAATATTTAAATTTGCCATTTATTAGTTACAATGTTTTAAGTAATGTTTCATTAAACCAAAACATGTCTGGAAAACAACATGCTGTATTTAAGAAAGACATGAAAATGCACAAAAAATATAAAACTGACAAGCAGCACAGCACATAATAAAAGCTTTTAGTATATTAATATGTATATGTATTAAAGTGTTTTGAACTTGACTTTACCTGTAGCCACGTTTGAGTAAAGGCTCTCTTCTGGTTCATTACTGGCACCTGTTAGAAGGATTAAAATAATGTATCAAAGGACAATTCCTGTACTTTATTTAGACACTGCTGGCCTACAAAAGCATCTCAACCATTGCATGTAGTATTTGTATTTCTCTATGTTAAACACAAATGAAATACTCTACCATTTCCAGCTTCTACCGGCCCTCCGATTGTTTCATAGAGACAACGATCACCTACAGAGAAGTGAAAATCAACCACGGTTACACCAATAATTTTAATCACAACTAAGGCTAAGAGTTCAAAATAAATCATATTATTAAACCGGACAAGGGCTGACCATGGAGGAGAGTAGAATATTCTGCCATGTTTTGAATTTCATCCTGGTTGATCTTGTGGTCTGTAGCAGGGCCCTGATTGGTGCTCTGAGATCTTGTGGGCCATACACATGAAGATAATGAAGACGATTGAATTTAACATATAACAGCTGTAAAGTTCAAAATGAGATACAAGAGGGTTGTACCGACCTGATGAAGACTGAATCTATTGAATAGAAGAGAAACTTAGTTACATTGTTTTTTAATTGCAAATATTTCCGGTACATGTTATCTGTGATTTTGAGTAATTATAGTTTAATTCATTTGATATCAGATGAAAAGGTTCTTACCTTTTGATTTTCTGTAGCGATACAGGAACAGCAGCGGGAGAATTATCAGTAAAACTCCACAAAGCAGCCCAACAGTCAACAGGATGGGAAATTGAGAGGCTTTTCCAGGCCGAGAAGCTGCTAATATAAATAACCTTAATTATTATTTTTGTATACAACACTTTCCTCAAAGCACTTCACAGGAACAGAGCTTCAAGGTCCGACCAAGCCTCAGAAATCTCTAAGATTAATAAACAATGACAATCAAACATTTTTTTATAAACAAAACCTATATTCACTGGTATAAATCAAATCAAATCAGGTTTTATTTATATAGCACATTTTAAAAACGATTTTTGGTCGAGTCAAATGCTCAAACATGCAAATAACACATTACTACAATCGCAAACAGAAGACAATAAATTACAACAGCAAATATAAAAATCAAACACAGGGAAATATCATGAGTCGTGCTCCGCTCTGACTAGAAGGCCAGGGAGAAGAAGTGAGTTTTTAGTGTTGATTTAAAAACCCCTAGGTGTTAGGGAAATAATTGTCCTTGACTCCTAGATATGACGTACATGACCAACCCTGACGTCTGTTGATCTCCTTTAAGGACATAGGCTGCTTCAGCCATAATGTTATTGTTCCCATTCTGTGACCGGGCAACACTAGGTCACAGATGGTCTGTTGTTGTGGGTGCACTGTGACACTTCCTTCTTTGTTGTTTGTGGACTCCAATGTATGACATCTTCGAGGCCATAAGTGACGGACGCAAGTAACTCAGTGTGCCCAACTGTTAAAGCTATCTTATCAAAATATGTTGATTACTCTCTGTGAAACCAGTTAAATGGGCTAACGAGAGAGAGGCGCTCCAGAATTGACGTGGCAACCCACCCGTGCAGTCAGACCGTGACTGCTGTGACTTGTGATGTGAACTCTCCTGCCGTAACTCCAAATAAATCATCAGTGTTTGACATCGAAGCTCCTGCTCTACCGTGTCTCCTTCCTGAGTCAGTGACTCCCACTGCATTGCTACACAGAAGTTTCCCTTACACTAGGGTCTGGGCCGACCTCACATGGAGGGGCAGAGTGTTCCAGAGCCTAGGGCCAGCTGCTGCGAAGGCTCGGTGCCCTCGGGTTTTGAGCCTGGTCTTGGGCACTACCAGCAGCAGCTGGTCAGCCGACCTTAATGCTCTGGCTGGGGTGTAGCGATGGAGGAGTTCTGCTATATAGGTCGGAGCCAGCACATTTAGGGCTTTGAAAACAAATACAAGGATTTTAAAATCAATACGGAACCTAATTGGAAGCCAGTGCAATGAGGCCAGAATTGGGGTGATGTGGTGATGCTTTTTGTGGCCAGTGAGAAGACGTGCAGCTGCATTCTGCACTAGCTGCAGGTGTCTAATTGACGCCTGGTCCATACCCACGTATAGAGCGTTGCAATAATCCAACCTTGTTGTTACAAAGGCGTTAATAACCCTTTCCAGGTCTTTAAAAGATAAAAACGACTTGGTCTTGGCCAATAGTCATATTTTAAAAAAGCAGGTCTTGACTACGGTGCTGACCTTCTTATCAAATTTAAAAGCGCTATTGAAGGTCACTCCAAGGTTCATGACAGAGGGGAGGATGTTTTTATTGAGGGAGCCCAGAATATCAACCGGAGAGGCTGGAGGTTGGGGTCCAAAAAAGATGACTTCGGTCTTGTTCTCGTTGAGGTTGAGGAAATGTTTGCTCAGCCAGGATTTGATCTCTGTCAAGCAGTCCATCAATAGCTGTAACGAGTTGACATTAGAATTGAAAGGCAGATCTGTACATCATCGGCGTAACAATGGAAGGGGATGTTGTGTTTTGTATGTACAGTAGAAAAAGGATGGGGCCCAGAATCGAGCCTTGGGGAACCCCACAGGTAAGAGGGGCTTTGCAGAGGAGAAGGCACCTAGCTGCAGTGAGAAGCTGCGGTCTGTCAGGTAGGACCTGAACCATTCAAGGGCAGAGCCTGTGATGCCTGCGGACTGTTCGAGCCGCGACAACAGGATGCTATGGTCCACAGTGTCGAAGGCAGCTGTCAGGTCTAAGGTCAGGTCAGCACCAGGACAGCTGGGCTACCTGAGTCTGCGGCTAGGAGCAGATCATTAAAAACTCTTAAAAGGGCTGTTTCAGTACTGTGCATGGGTTTGAAGCAAGTCTGAAACTTTTCACGAATGCCATGCGTGGTTAAAAAAGACTGCAGCTGGGCGTAAACTACTCTATACACTGAAGAAAAATATAAACGCAACACTTTTGTTTTTGCTCCCATTTTTCATGAGATGAACTCAAAGATCTAAAACATTTTCTATATACACAAAATAACCATTTCTCTCAAATATTGTTCACAAATCTGAAAATATCTCCTTTGCCGAGATAATCCATCCCACCTCACAGGTGTGGCATATCAAGATGCTGATTAGTCAGCATGATTATTGCACAGTTGTGCCTTAGGCTGGCCACAATAAAAGGCCACTCTAAAATGTTCAGTTTTATCACACAGCACAATGCCACAGATGTCGCAAGTTTTGAGGGAGCGTGCAATTGGCATGCTGACAGCAGGAATGTCCACCAGAGCTGTTGCCCGTGAATTGAATGTTCATTTCTCTACCATAAGCCGTCTCCAAAGGCGTTTCAGAGAATTTGGCAGTACATCCAACCGGCCTCACAACCGCAGAACACGTGTAACCACACCAGCCCAGGACCTCCACATCCAGCATGTTCACCTCCAAGATCGTCTGAGACCAGCCACTCGGACAGCTGCTGCAACAATCGTTTTGCATAACCAAAGAATTTCTGCACAAACTGTCAGAAACCGTCTCAGGGAAGCTCATCTGCATGCTCGTCGTCCTCATCGGGGTCTCGACCTGACTCCGGTTCGTCGTCGTAACCGACTTGAGTGGGCAAATGCTCACATTCGATGGCGTCTGGCACGTTGGAGAGGTGTTCTCTTCACGGATGAATCCAGGTTTTCACTGTTCAGGGCAGATGGCAGACGGCGTGTGTGGCGTCGTGTGGGTGAGTGGTTTTCTGATGTCAATGTTGTGAATCGAGTGGCCCATGGTGGTGGTGGGGTTATGGTATGGGCAGGCGTATGTTATGGACGACGAACACAGGTGCATTTTATTGATGGCATTGTGAATGCACAGAGATACCGTGACGAGATCCTGAGGCCCATTGTTGTGCCATTCATCCACGACTATCACCTCATGTTGCAGCATGATAATGCACGGCCCCATGTTGCAAGGATCTGTACACAATTCCTGGAGGCTGAAAACATCCCAGTTCTTGCATGGCCAGCATACTCACCGGACATGTCACCCATTGAGCATGTTTGCGATGCTCTGGATCGGCGTATACGACAGCGTGTTCCAGTTCCTGCCAATATCCAGCAACTTCGCACAGCCATTGAAGAGGAGTGGACCAACATTCCACAGGCCACAATCAACAACCTGATCAACTCTATGCGAAGGAGATGTGTTGCACTGCGTGAGGCAAATGGTGGTCACACCAGATACTGACTGGTTTTCGGACCCCCCCTGACCCCCCCCCCAATAAAGCAAAACTGCACGTTTCAGAGTGGCCTTTTATTGTGGCCAGCCTAAGGCACACCTGTGCAATAATCATGCTGTCTAATCAGCATCTTGATATGCCACACCTGTGAGGTGGGATGGATTATCTCGGCAAAGGAGAAGTGCTCTATCACAGATTTTTTCAGATTTGTGAACAATATTTGAGATAAATGGTTATTTTGTGTATATAGAAAATGTTTTAGATCTTTGAGTTCATCTCATGAAAAATGGGAGCAAAAACAAAAGTGTTGCATTTATATTTTTGTTCAGTGTATATATACACTATAAACCCCTGTTCACATATCTTATATTTTCAATGCTGCTCATGTAATCATGGTCATATTGTATGAATGTTTTAAGACTGAATACAGAACTGGAAAAATATATTTCTCTTACAAAAACTAAATTGTATAATTCAGAGGAAACTAAGACAACTTTGAATGAAGTAATAACTGTCTTTTTTAGCTCTGACTCAGCAACACATCTCAAAAAGAGGAAACTGTTTTTATCATACTCACATTTGACTGAGAACCAACTCTTTGATGAGGTCCTACCATCTACTGAATCTCTCCGTTTACATTTATAAAAGCCTTCGTCTGACTTTGACACTGCAGAGATGGTCAGCTCCCTTCTGTTATAATTCTGGATGAGTTCGTCATTTTTATAGAAATCCACATCATAAAGAGCCGTTCCTGTCTTTAACTTGCAGCTAAGAGTGCCAGGAAGTCCCTCAGCCACAGGACGGACAGGGCTCACCAGGATAATATCATCATCTGAAAAAAAAATCAAAGAATATCAAGGCTTTATCAGAGATATCAGCTTTTGCAGATTTAAAGGTCACCTATCATGCTATTTTTAGGCAATAGCATAGGTCTCAAATATATAAACATATATTAAAAACATGTCTATGAAGTGTTTTGCTCAAAATACCACACAGATCACCCATTCTAGCCATGCCTCATATCCCTCTATTTCACTCCCTGTTTCAAAAGTGCTGATTTTATGTATAAAGCTTAAAAAAAAAAGAATTGATAAAAAAAAAGGAGGGGCCTGAGTTCATGCGGGACCCGGCAGCTACTGTCTAAACTAAATACTGCCGTGATGAAACGCCATGGATTATCAAGGATTATTTCTGAAACAGTATGGAACTCAAAGGCTTTCTCTTTTGCCGGGTTATACCACAAGGTGAGTTCCTTTTTATTTCCTGCTTCTTCACACACATGATCTGTGCAGTAGGCTACAGGTTAGCTCTGAGTGTTTGCGATGCTAATGTAAACATGCAACAACCATATTACGTCCAAAGCAGTCGGGCATTGTTTCTGATAGGGCAGTGGGTGTAAAGCCAGCCTACATTTCCGTTATTACGTCATATCGGACACAAATCTGGATCAGCTCCGTTGTAGCCTCGTTTTTAGAGATTTGGGTAAGGAGGAAAAGAGAGAGGGTTTTATTTTCTGACGCTGCGTGAGTTCCCTGACACACCGGGAACACATATTCATGTATAAAAGACATAAAAAAGTGCATTTTACATGATAGGTCCCCTTTAACCTGTTAAGCACTGAGCCTGTTTTTCAGGTCTAAGGCTCGAAATGACATTCCCAGAACAAATGACCATATCTTCCCTTCTAAAAGGGTTAAATTAATAATATTTTTTCTCAAAGTAATGATAAACCTGTGAGTTGGATGTAGAAAAGTCAGAATCAATATAGATGTTTTTTTATTTTAAAGAAAATTCAGATTGAACTAGTAAAAAACTATAAATTATAGTGTCCGTCCAAAAATATTTTTTTACTTAATGAAAACTACCCTTGGGTGATGGTAATGTAGGTTAACATATAATAAGTACCCTGTATCAAGATGGATGCAAAACAAGTGACATTTTACCTTTTTAGAGAGGTTTAGCGAAAACATTTGGTTGGATTTTCCATATCTCTGGCCCCCCTTGGTCGATTTTGCTGATTGACATCTCTTTCTAACTGTCAGAGCCAATGGAATTGAGGGAAAGTTCCACATACACACACAGCTTACCAAATAAGGAGTGATAGAGATGCGTAGAAAAACCGGAAGCTGCACTAACCTCTGGTGGCTACCATTAGCAGCTAATTTTTCTTCTCTGATATTTGCATACAAATGGAATTATGGATTATCAATAATTTTTTCAAAGTGACAGACACATTGCTATAACCAGGGCTTCACATAACTGGTGCGCAGGTGCGCATGCGCACCTCTGCCAAAAAAAGAGCACCGTGTCATTTGAAAAAAGGCGCATTTGCGTACCAACATTGAGAGAGAGAGAGATAGAGAGAGAGAGAGAGAGAGAGTAGAGAGAGATAGAGATAGAGAGAGAGAGAGAGAGAGATGAGAGAGAGAGAGAGAGAGAGAGAGAGAGAGAGAGGGAGAAGAGAGAGAGAGAGGAGAGAGAGAGGGAGAGAGAGAAGAGAGAAAAGAGAAAAGAGAGAAAAGAGAGGAGAGAGAAGAGAGAAAGAGAAGAGAGAGAGAGAGAAATATATTTGCGAGTTGCATATGATACATATACATATGAACTCAGAGCCGGCCCGTAGCGCTGGCGTAATAGATGTTCGCCTAGGGTGCCAGATCTGTGGAGGCGCTGCGCTGGCAGCTCTGGGAGGGAAAAAAACATTTTGACCGTTGGTGCTCATCCTAATTTTCGGCCTTGATGTAACAATATTCATAATTAAGTAAATGTAACACCCTTTTCACCCCGGTTACACGTTTCATTTGCCCTGTACGATGGGCGCTGTAAGTGATGAAAGTGGGGGATGTTGGCTTATCTGGCACCCGCAGCTCACAGCCAAAATGCGAGTGAGCGAGGGAGAGAGAGAAGGGCGCACCGGTACCGGTGCTGTTGTTATTAGAATCTGTTGCTAGCTGCTCTAACGGATATAAGAAGAAGATGTTTCTACAATGATGTGGAGAGAGAGTCCTCTCCAGTCAGACTGAGAGGCTGATAACTACAGCTCAGTGAGGTAACGGACTCTGAGTGTTTAGATAGTTCACTCTAAGTTCAAACAGTTTGGTCACAATTGATGTAAACACATATTTCCAAGGCACTCCTTTATAATTATTGGGATACACAGGTTTGAAATCATTCCAATGTATACTATAGGACAGTAACCAAAAATATCCTTTAAAACTGGAGAGATAAAAAAAAATGCATAAATAAATAAATGTTAAGGTAAAATAAGATATGAATGAACAACATAAATAAAATAAGTTACATTAATTTGTTATTGGCTATGGTAGGTTATTGGTTATGTTCACATACTTATTTGATTACATCCACTTGTCTAAGATGACAACACTTTCGACCCAAACCCAGCTGTTGACTTGTGGATGCAAGCAGCTAATCGCAGACTCAACCAGAGAGAAAGAAGTAGGCCTACATCATCAGCTACCATGTCTGACAGAGAGGAAGACAGTGAGAAGAACAGAAAGGAGGGTAGTGATGAGCTTGTAGGATTACTGGTTGTGCTAATGTTGTCCTGTGTTCACCTCTGCATGTGTGTTCTGTGTTCACCTCTGTGTGTTCAGTGCCGTGTGTCTGGCAAATAAAGTCAAGACCCCCTCAAAAGTTACGGTTTATTTCATTTTAAGGATGAGCACCAAGCAACATCTCCAGGTGCTCCTTTGAGAACCAGGGCAAAAAAGTTACGTGCACCCCTGGCTATAACCTATGAATTAACCTTCAGCCGCGTTTTTTTCTCGTTTTAATGCCATTGAACACAACTTTTGATCAGAATAACAGCTAAGGTGAGCATATCTCCATGTTTTGCTACCTAAAGCTACTTGTGTGTTGTCTGTATTTGCTTCCCCTGTCACGAGTTCTGATCGCTCAGTGATGATCCTTATATATTTCTATAATCTGTGGACTCTCAGGATGTTATCTAAGTTTGTGCAGATCCAATAAGTATATCGATCAGTGTAGCTAGAGTTCTATGCTAACGGCCTTAAGATTGTTTCGTTCGTAGCTAATTCAGAGGCTCGGCTTTGTGTTTTTTTTTTTTTTAAAATATTTTTTTTATCAGTTAGCTGAGTTTCTTCCCGTTACATGGATATGAAACATTCATAGTTTATTGAATATTAAGATGCCCTCAGACGCTGTTTCCTGCAGATGACGCATTTTTTCCCCCGGTATCGGGGGTGCAGTGTAGAAGAGGTTAATACATTCATACACGACTGGTCTACTCTGGCAGAAGCTGAAATGTCAGGTAGATGTATGAGAACAATAAAACACATAGAATATTATCTTGATCATTGAGAGGAGTAACCTGGAAATCACTTTCCAGCTAATTAGCCTTTTTTTATAAAGTGTACTCACTTTGAAGAGACATTTGGCTAATGCTTGTCACCTTCACATTTCCAAACAATGTAATAATTCAGAAACAAATATTTTAAATAAATAAAACTCACACTTCATTGTAATGTTGACTGCATTACTGAACTGTCCTGTTTCAGACTCACACCAGTACACTCCACTAAGCCAGCTTCTGCTAATTGTGCATGTGGATCCAGTCATTGTCCCCCAGGAAGAACAGGGAAGAAGGTTGCCAGATTTCGAAAACCTCCTTACTCTCCACTCAGTGGAGTTTCCCTCACAGCTCAGTGACACAGGCGTTTTGGTGAAGTGCTGCACACTGTCAGGACTCACTGTGAGAGACGCTGCTGAGTTAATATCTAAAACACACAAAGAGGGGACATTTAAACCATGCAAACTGAAAAAGACAATGCATTGGCACAGCAAAACTTCTACTTAATTTACCCTGAAAAAACTAAACGGGAACAAACTAAAGTAGGAGGAAAACAAAAGTGAATGTCACAGTGTCTCAAATCCCACACACATTTTTTAATCATATGTATTGTTTATGTCTTAAACCATTTAACCAGCAGATAAATATCTTAAAACATATTCCCAACAAAACAAATAAAGAAAACACTTACCAGTTATATCTAATTACAATGTATTGTAGAAGTACTTATATTATTAGGTTTTGGATTTACAAAGTCTAAGGTTTGAACCATGGCGAACAACAACTCATGTGTCAGGATGAACTCGTGTTAAAATTCAGTCCAGTCCAGAAGCTGAATCAGTCAATTATCATTCTGTTTTAGAGAATAGTTTTGAAAACTGAAATATGACCTGATGCTGGTGTAAAAGAAAAGTTCCCAAAATAAGTGACTTTATTCAATTTTGCAATAATGGAAAAGTCAAAGCAAAAAGGACTCCAGAGTAGACAAACTTTGATCAATACATTTGTTGTGCTAACTAAATAAAGAAATAAAAAGGAACCACATACTGACCTCCAGACCAGACAAACTTGCGTTTGCTGTACAAACTGTAAAACACTGGATCTCCTGTTCCTGCTCTGCAGTAATATCCTGCTGTGTGTGTTTGTCCATCAATGATGAAGAGATCCTGTTCAGTCCCATTCTCGCTGCCAGGTAGCAGCTCATAGCTGTAAGAGTTGCCTGACAGTCTGGGAACAGCCTTATACCAGTAGAAGCTCCAGCCAGCAGAAGGATGATCAACCCTGCAGTTTAGAGTTACTGAGGCTCCAGGACTCTGCCATGATGGAGACACAGTGACGACAGGCAGAGGTCTTTCTGTTGGAAAGTGATTTAATGATAAAGTTATGATGTATAATTGGTGGGTTACATGCACTCCTTGGATTCTACATATTTTCTACAAACGTATATAAAAAATAGTTTTTATTTTATTTTATATCGAGCAAAAAAAGTCAACTGATGATAAATGACTTTGTCAGATACTGTCAATTTGGAACAAAATCTATTTGTCACCTTATTATGTAATGAAGTATAACATGGTTTGTTTGTAAAATATTATCTTTATGTAAATGCTTTGATGTATGAAACTGATCCATTACATTACATTACATTGCATTTAGCTGACGCTTTTGTCCAAAGCGACTTACAATAAGTACATTCGACCAGGAAGACACAACCTTGAAGAAAACAGAATCATATAAGTATATCAGGTTTCATAGAGCCAAACATTTCAAGTGCTACTCAACTGGCTTTAGGTAATCCAGTCCTTTATTAGTATAAAAGTGCTTCGTTAATCGTTCTAACGCTCGAAGTGGAGTCGAAAGAGATGAGTTTTCAGTTTGCGCCGGAAGATGTGCAAGCTATCTGCCGTCCTGATGTCAATGGGGAGCTCATTCCACCATCTTGGAGCCAGGATAGCAAACCCACGTGTTTTCGCCGATGGGAACTTGGGTCCCCCTCGCAGCGAGGGCGCAACGAGTCGTTTGGCTGATGCAGAGCGTAGTGCACGCGCTGGGGTGTACGGTTTAACCATGTCCTGGATGTAGGAAGGGCCAGATCCATTCGCAGCACGGTAAGCAAGTACCAGTGTCTTGAAGTGGATTCTAGCAGTTACCGGAAGCCAGTGAAGGGAGCGGAGGAGCGGAGTGGTGTGGGAGAATTTAGGAAGGTTGAAAACCAGACGAGCCGCTGCATTCTGGATGAGCTGCAGAGGTCGGATGGCACATGCAGGTAGACCAGCCAGGAGGGAGTTGCAGTAGTCTAGGCGTGAGATAACGAGAGCCTGGACCAGAACCTGAGTCGCTTTCTGAGTCAGCTGGGGACGTATCTTCCTGATGTTGTAAAGCGTGTATCTGCAGCAGCGGGTTGTAGCAGCGATGTTTGCAGTGAAGGACAGGTTGTTATCTAGGGTCACACCCAGATTCCTTGCAGTCTGAGTCGGGGAAACAACTGAGGTGCCGATGTTGATTGTCAGGTCAAGAGTTGGACAATCTTTTCCCGGGAGGAAGAGCAGCTCAGTCTTGTCAAGGTTGAGCTTGAGGTGGTGAGCAGACATCCACTGAGAGATGTCAGCTAGACAAGCAGAGATGCGTGCGACGACCTGGGTCTCTGAGCGGGGAAAGGACAGAATTAATTGGGTGTCGTCAGCGTAGCAGTGGTAAGAAAAACCATGCGGGCTAATGACTGATCCGAGCGAGTTTGTGTACAAGGAGAAGAGGAGGGGACCAAGAACAGAGCCCTGAGGGACCCCCGTAGTTAATTGACAAGGGTCGGACTCAGACCCTCTCCAAGTCACCCTGTAGGTACGGTCTTTCAGGTATGAGGTGAGGAGGGAAAGTGCAGAGCCTGAAACTCCAAGTTTTTGGAGAGTGCGAAGGAGGATCTGATGATTCACCGTGTCGAATGCAGCAGACAGGTCCAACAGGATGATGACAGAGGAGAGGGATGCAGTTTTGGCAGTGTGCAGTTCCTCCGTGACAGCAATGAGAGCAGTTTCTGTGGAGTGACCTGCCTTGAAACCAGACTGGTGCGGATCCAGAAGGTTGTTCTGATTGAGATAACAGGAGCGTTGTTTAAAGACAGCGCGTTCAAGTGATTTAGACAGGAACGGGAGGAGAGAGACAGGCCTGTAGTTTATAACATCAGACGGGTTGAGAGTGGGTTTCTTTAGGAGAGGGTTTACTCTTGCCTCCTTGAGACTGTTTGGAAAGTGACCAGAAGTTAGAGAAGTGTTGATGAAATGGGTGAGAAACGGTAGAATATCAGGAGCGATAGTCTGAAGGAGGTTTGAAGGGATAGGGTCCAGAGGACAGGTGGTAGGGCGGGCAGAGGTAATGAGGGTAAGAACCTCACTTGGAGAGAGAGGGGAAAAGGAGGTTAGTGTGTTGGTGGAAGGAAGGTCTGGTGACCCAGCGGTGAGTAAAGGTGAGTCAGAAAAAGAAGAGCGAATATCATTAACCTTTTTTTCAAAGTGGGTAACAAAGTCGCTTGACAGAAGTGAGGAGGGGGGGAGGAGCTTTTGGAGGGTCCAAGAGGGTGGAGAAGATGGAAAATAGTTTTTTAGGATTGGAATAGGAAGATTGGATCTTATCTTGAAAGAAAGTGCTTTTTGCCTGATTATTATGTGCCTGATTATTATGTGTGATCCCCGTCAGTCTTGTTGTTCTTATTTTAATACTCGTGATTTTGTGATAACACAAAGCACAGGATTGTACAGTATACTTCACCTGCCCATACAGCATCAGTGGAGCTGTTCAAACATTAAAATAATTTACAGATTATATATTAGAACTTATCAAACTGCGTGTTCATATCAATATGGCTCATAAATAAATAAAAAATGCTTTTATTGAACTTGGTCATGGTGGTATTACTTTGATCACTTACCTGATACATTTAGATAGATTTTATTGCTTCTTATTGTTGAGCCCCCATGCTGGAAAAGACATTGGTATTCACCACTGAAGTTTGTAGTTAGATGGGGTAATTTATAGCTCTCATGTTGGCCGTAAGGGAGAAATCCTTGACCATCCTTGTACATTGAGTAAAACCAGCCGCTGTCTTTGTCTCCTGTAATGTCACACTTGAAGGTAACAGACCCTCCAAAAAAAAAAGTTGTCCAGTTTGGCTCAATGGTCAGCACAGCATCTAGAAACCATCACAAGATACATGAAGTAAAATGTATTTTCTTTTTGTCAAAACATAAATAATAAATTGACAAAACGGTACACACAAAAAAGAGGATGTTGTTTGGAGAGTTAAATAGGTATTTTTTTTGCTTTACTTAGTAAACAACAAGAAAGAAAATTGTATAATCACCTTGAGCTTGTCCACGGTAAAGTAAATTCAGCACTGAAAAAAGTTTGAAACTAAATCAGACATTATTAAAATTAAAGAAATTACATATCATAACCTCAGGCATATATAAAGATGTAACAATGGAAATTAAAACAGGAATAGTACTCACATAAAAACCCCAGTAGAGAGAGCAAAGTGTGTCCCATCTTCACATCCAACACTGATAAACTGTTCCTCTGTTTATGAGAAATTCTTCCAATGTAATATTGGAAAAGGAAGTTGTTTGTTATCTTCTTTACACGGCCTGGACTTCCTTCCCTTTTAGACAAAGCTAACAAAACAGAGCAGCCTTTAACACAGCACATTTGTTTTGCACCTTGGTTTAGGTATCCTCTAATGATGAAGAGAGGTAAGGTATTAAAATATCCTTCCTGGCGTAGATAAGATCATACTGTCGACTCGTGCTTCTTCACAAATGGTCAGTAATTATTGATACTGCTACTGTATAAAGACTGCTGCATGAAGTCAAAAAGTGTTCTTTCTAGAACAAATTAAGTGATAAAATTGCATGGATCGTAGTCACTTTATAATCCATGGGCCTTCTCACCAATATTGCATGTGAAACTGAGTGTAACAGCTTTAACCCAATAGTTGAAATGCAGTGCTGGAGTGTTATGGGGAATGTGAAGAGAGACAAAGTCCTGCCCCCTCCTCGAGATCGACTCTACTTTAAGGGGGCAACATTTCATATCTTCATCATTCATAATAAAGCAATCATTTGAATACAGAAAATGTTTTGTCCAGGTGCAAAATTGTATCACAACAGTTGTACAAAAATGACTTAATGCCATAATAATGATTGAAATAAATAAATACCACAACACTTCAGTAGCTGTGAAGTTTTAAAGTTTCCACTTCCATGCATGAGTGCAAAGCTAAGGAAGTGAACCTTAAGCAATCAATTGTTTAGTTATTAGTTAGGAGTTACATGTACATGACATCAGACCCTGCTGCCAGACTTCAGAAGGACTATTTGTATAGAGTAGGTAAAGTATCAGATAAAGTAGTTTGACACCACCTTGTGGTCATATATCGAAATACATATTCTATTATAACTGCACAGTGAGTGGAGAAAAAATAAAATAGAATATTCTCAGTAAAACATACTTACATAAATTGGAAAAATTAATGTTGGCTGTAGTGCGTCAGTAGATTCCCTTCTTCTATCTCTCTACATAGAAAATACTGTATGTTTACCCATGGACAATGTAGGAACCAGGGACGTACCTTGCGAACAGGCAAGGCAAGCAACTGCTTGGGGCCCCGGACCAGAAGGGGGCCCCCAAAGAAAGTAGATTAAGAAGGTACACAGCAACGACAACATGAAACACCCTTTAATTTACTGCAACGACATGTCGGGAAACCCCCTCAAGGCGGTCCCACGCATAGCGTGCCGTAAAATGCTGCTTCCTATCTTAAAGGTCCCATGTCATGCTTTTCCGGTTATTACCCGTCCCCTTGTGTGTTATGTAGCTTTTTCTGCATGTAAACGGTCTGCAGAGTCACAAAGCCCTCAAAGTACACCTTGTAGCGAGTAAAACTCTAACACAGAAAATACATGTTGCCCCAGACGCCTCGTTGGAGATTTCTCTTTTTCTTCCAGGAACCAAGTGACGTAACGACGACCCAATGGACCAATCCGTGGAGCTCCTCACACACACCCTCTCTCTCTCTCAGCGGCAAAACCTTGATGCGCTGGGGGGGGGGGGGTGTGCGGGTGCTAGTGGAGCCTCGGAACTCGTGATGTTCCGCTGTATCATATGTGTAATTTGTGGCACAATTCAAACGGGATAGAAAGATAATCTTTCTCTCGCCAGTGACTTCAATACATACGAAGGGAGGGACTTTGCCTCTCTATAAAGCAAATGTAAGGGTGAACTACTGTATCCTTATAAATAAAAAACAAAATACTAGTTTTATTTTATATAGAGCTAAAAAAGTCAACTGATGATAAATGACTTAGTGTCAGATACTGTCAATGTGAAAACAATCCATTTGTCACAGGTAATAAAGTATAACAAGGTTTGTTGGTAAAGTATTATCTTTATGTAAATGCTCTGATGTAAGAAGTTGATCCCTGTCTGTCTTTAGGTCCTTATTTTGAATACTCTTGATTTTGTGATAACCTAAAAGCACAGGATTGTACAGCATACATCACCTGCCTTTACAGCATCAGTGTCGCTGTTCAAACATTACAAAATTTAAATAATTTACTGATTATATACAGTGGTGGAAATAAGTATTTGATCCCTTGCCGAGTTTGTAAGTTTACCCACTTAAAAATAAATGAACAGTTTATCATTTTAATGGTAGGTTTATTTTAACAATGAGAGTAAGAATATCAACAAGAAAATCCAGAAATTGACATTATATAAAAGATACAAATGTATTTGCATTTAACTGTGGAAAATAAGTATTTGATCCCCTTACAACCAACAAGAATTCTGGCTCTCACAGACCTGTTACATCAGTCTTCTTACTTTAAACAAGTACTCCTAATATCAACTTGTTACCTTTATAAAAGACACCTGTCCACAGAATCAATCAATCAGATTCCAACCTCTCCACCATGAGCAAGACCAAAGAGCTGTCTAAGGACCTCAGGTTACAAGATTGTAGACCTGCATGCACAAGGCTGGAATTTGCTATAAGACCATCAGAAAGCAGCTAGGTGAGAAGAAGACAACTGTTGGTGCGATTATTCGGAAATAGAAGAAAATGGGCATCAATCGCCGTCGGTCTGGAGCTCCACACAAGATCTCTCCTTGTGTGGTATAGATGATCATGAGAAAGGTGAGGGATCAGCCAAGAGCTACACGGGTAACCCATAACTCAGATCAGCTCCAAGTACATTGGTGTCCATCTAGATAATACACTCAGCTGGAAGGCGCATGTTCAAGGTCTGTGCTCTAGACCAGTGGTTCCCAAACTTGTTGTGCCCAAGGCACACCAAAGGACAAGTAAAAATCTCAAGGCACACCTATTGTGAAAAATAGCCCTTATAACACGTGTTATCACTCATATCATGTAAAATATCTGTAAATGTGCATAATTATTTACTAATGCCAAATAAAATGTGACAAAGACAACTATATTACTCATGAAATATTTATTAACGAAATATTTCAGAAATTAATTTGAAACTTTATCAAATTAGGCTTCATCAAAGCAGCAACACACTAATTTAAACCTGACAGGTCACAACATTAAAAATGAGGCAAAGGAAACTCAGCAGAAATTCAGCACAGAGAACTGTCAATGCAAGGAAGCTGCATTGTCCATGGTCCTGAAATACAAATTATAAATGTAACATTTCAGCAATCAGCATTGAAACATGTGCTATTGTAAATATTTTGCCGACTTACAAATTAGTGAGATACAGGTGCCTGTCGGGGCGCGCAGACGTTTTTAATCCTTGGTTGCACTGAGGAGAGGGCCACTCGCAAGTCCTGTTCAACAGAGAGCCGTGACCTCCAGTTGTTCTTCATGTAAATCAGAGTAGAGAACGCCAACTCCAGAGATGGGGTCGTTACTAAAAAAATGTAATATATTACATATTACTTTTAAAAAAGTAATATATTACACTACTTCGTTACTATCTGCATAAAGTAACTCGTTACTTTACTGGTTACTTTACTCGCCGAGCACGTACGAACTGCGCATGCGTTAGTGGCAATAACTTTCCTTACCAGCAGGCGGCGGTAGTGTGTATTTGTCATTCAAAACAGGCAACAACCGGAAGACAGAGAAGAAGAACAGACTATGTGATATAAACAAACAACAAATAGCGTGTGCGGTAGCTTCACCTTAGCATGTGTTCTTTGCAGGTGTGTGTTGAGGTTTGACGTGGTGTTTCCAGCAGTGGATAACAGCTTCTGGCCTGGACACAGTTTGCACCTCACCGTCACATTCCTGTCTATTCTTCGGACGAACTCAAAATAATGGGCATACCTCCACCCCTCGAAAGTTATCGCTGACTCAGCCATGTTTATGCAGCACTGCACGTGGAGATGTGGACGCACAAGTCGCGCAGATTACGTACATATAAACCTACAAATTACTGATATAGTAAATTAAAAAATAATTATTTTTGTGTAGAAATTGCAATAATAACGTATGGTTGTCACAAAATCCCACGGCACACCCGGACTTGCCTCACGGCACACCAGTGTGCCGCGGCACACCGTTTGGGAACCACTGCTCTAGACTTCAACAGCGATTATACTTTCTGTGTAGACTCCGGGCTTTCGGAAGTTTCATGTTACTGTTCTATCATGCAGTGTTGGAGAGCATCATGAGGTATGGTATTACTGCCTGGTACGGTAACTTGACAGTGCAGTCAAAGTCACAGATCGCTCGCCTGGTACAGACTGCTATGAAAATTATGGGGGTTAAAAAACACCCATCTCTCCGAAACATATATGAGCAGTCCATTATCAGACAGGCAAAAAAAAAAAGTGTCTGATCCCACCCACATATTCCACCCAGAATTCCAGCTCCTACCTTCTGGTAGAAGATTCAGGGTTCCCAAGAGTAGGCTGAACCGCTATAAGCACTCCTTCCTACCTATGTCGATTAAGCTTCTTAACATTCACATGAAATTAAATGTAGTCAAATGTAATGAAATGTACTTTTTAAATGTTGGCCATGAGGGTAGTGCAATAGGTCGCCATTGTCAGTATGTGTGTATTGTGTTTGTTCAAACGGTGTATGATTGATCATATGTGTATGTCTCTTAATGTCCACTGTTTGTATATGTACATGTATGCGGAACTGCAGGACGGAGTCCAGAACAAATTCCCTTACGGGGATAATAAAGTATATCGTATCGTAAACGGGAGGAACTTACCCTTTCATGCATGAATTATGAAAGCCTCAGTCAGGATTTTTACCAAGTGTTATTATTGCTCTTGGGGCATGAAAAACAAGATTTGAACTTTTTTTTTTTTAAATCTAGTTTTTTCAAAGAGATTTTTATATGTCCACTCAGGTGGACAGTATGCGTTCAGGGTTTGAATTGAAGAGATGTACATTTTGAAAAAATGATAAATAAAGATGTGCAAACTTAAAATTACTTTATAATAATATGAGTATATTGATTTACAGCCCAAAAAGATATTGCAGATGAAGTATTTTCAAGAATAACCAGGGCCAGGGGCCAATTTGAGGCCCCACGCACAGTTATTTGATGAGTGCTAGTGGAACCGTGCCGCGCCACCCTAATTGCGCCACATAAGCGCATAGGTGCGCCTCAGATGAGGCCCCCCTCCGCAAGGTGTGGCCCCCTCCACAAGGTGAGGCCCCACACAGTCTGCATGATCTGCCTGTAGGGAGGGACGGCCCTGGGAACAACAGCAGCAGTACCAGTATGAATTGTAGTTGAAATATAGCCAGTGATGCATGACGTCCACTGTAGTGGACAGGTGGTTAATCATGATTTCCTGCAAACATAAAATCAATACTTTGATCATTTATGAATTATATGATTCCTTAGTTGTTACTTGATGTCACCACCTTTTTTATACCTGCAGGGGACGCTTTCCATAAAAGGATTGGCAAGATATAGATGGGTGACTTGGTCCATGTGGCTTTCTGTCGTCCATCTTGGTTTAGAGACATGTATCATGCACTTACACTGACTTGACACTGAGTGGCAGTGTATGGGATGATGCAATAGGGTCCTATGTAGTGGCTGATGGTGCAACTATTCCAAAAAAAAAACAATGCAAGAAAACACCTTTTGAATAGCTGTCCACTGGAGTGACCTCTATGCATGAAAGGGTTAATGATCTCAAGGCAGCTGGGAGCACAGTCACCAAGAAAACTATTGATAACATACTACACCATAATGGATCAAATTCTGCAGCGCCTGCGAGGTCCCCTGCAAAAGAAGAACATGAAAAGCCTGTCTGAAGTTTGGCAATGAACATCTGAATCATTAGAAAAAAGGCTTGGGAGAAGGTTATGTGGTCCAATGAGACCAAAATCGCGATCTTTGGCATCAACTGTTTGGAGGAAGAGAGATACTGACTATAACCCGAAGAACACCATCTCCCCCATTAAGCATGGAGGTGGAAACATTATGCTTTGGGGTGTTTCTCTGCTAAGGGGACAGGATGACTTCCCTGCATCGAGGACAGGATGTACGGGGCCATGTACCGCGAAATATTGGCCGATAGCCTCCTTCCCTCAGCTAGGACACTGAAAATGGGTCATGGATATGTTTTTCAGCACAACAATCAACCTTAACATACGGCCAAGGCAACAAAGGAGTGGCTAAAGAAGAAGCACACTTAGGTGATGGAGGGGCCTAGCCAGTCTCATAGAAAATATGTGGAGGGAGCTGAAGCTTCGAGACGCCAAGCATCAACCTCAAAACCTTAAGGATTTGGAGAGGATCTTCAGAGAGAGATGTTCACAAACCTGGAGACCAACTACAAGAAGTGTCTGACCTCGGTGTGTCCAACAAGGGTTTCTCCACCAAGTACTAAGACGTGTTTTGCAAGGGGATCAAGTACTTATTTCCCACAGTTAAATACAAATCAATGTTTATCTTTTATATAATGTCAATTTCTGGATTTTTTATTTGATAGTCTTACTCTCAATGTTAAAATAAACCTTCCATTAAAATTATAGACTGTTAATTTCTTTATAGGTGGGCAAACTTACTAAATCTGCAAGGGATCAAATACTTATTTCCTCCACAGTACATAAAGTACAAAGTGTTTTCTTTTTGTCAAAAAATGTATTATACATTGACCAAACCGATGTTTTTTGGAGGGCATTATCAAACTGACAAATATATCATAACCTCAGGCATTTAAAAAGTTGTATCAATGGTAATTAAAACTGGAAAAGTACTCAGAGAATAACCCCAGCGCGCAGAGCAAAGTGTGTCCCATCTTCACATCGAACACTGACTCTATCTCTTACACATACGTCCACTTTAACACAACAAATTGAGGAAGACTAACAGAGCACTGTGGGAGGAAATCGGATCTGATGTCAACATGAGCTCATTGGTATTTTACACATTTCCTAAGAATTACTAGTGTCTATTTCCTTCCTGTTTTACATTGGCATGACTACTTCATGCTCATTAATGCAAATACATTTAAACTTCACTCTCAAGATCCCACTTTAAAAATGTATTTTAGAGTAAATAGTCATTTTTGCTCAACTCATATCTCAGTACAAATGGATGGCAGTATTATACTTGTGTTTGAAAGGCAGATATATTTAACGCCAACAGTTAGATGGTTCATCGAGACAACTGCAGAACGATTTAACCTCTTCGTCATTCTTTACCTGACCTTTATTGCATTTGTAATTCTGATCATTTATCATGCATTAGTCTAGAAACACAAGACAAATGTCAGGATTCTTTGGTAAAATAGGCATCTTGTAAACCTCTAATATTAGATGTTTCCACTGCTTAAACACTATAGTAATAACAAGGGCAGGTGATTCAAAGTGACACACTTCTGTCGCCTCAAAGCATGACTGTACTGGATCATAAAAGGGAGGATGATGAAACCCATCAAACACCTTGTGAACATAAAAATAAAGTAGAAGCAAGTAAATCAAGTTTATTGATGCAAAACAAATCATGCATTTTTTTTTAAAATACACCTAGATTAAAGCCATAGCATTTCCTTTCAATGATTTGCTATTACATTAAAGGTGGGGTAGGTAAGTTTGAGAAACCGGCTTGAGAGACACTTTGTTATATTCCATGGAATGCTCTTAACATCCCGATAGCAATGAATATCTTAAGTGCTTTGACAAAAAAAACATAAACAAATTTCATCTGTGGAAGCCGTAGAACTGTAAAAAGCACGACCAATCATTTTAGCCGGCCCGGCTAAAGTAACTGGATGGCCTACCTGCCTGTCAGCCTTCCATCTGTGCACAAACGTATCTCGTGCCCTCATTGGTCATGTGCGCGTTTGTGTGTGTTGGAGGAGGGGCTCTGTAAGGAAGTGGCAGATTGTTTCCGGCTGTGTATTTTCAAATTCTAGCGCACTCGAGCTGATTTCTCCAAAATTACCTACCCCACCTTTAACTGTACAAAATACTGTCTGATAAATGGAGAGCAAAGCTGCAAATAAGGTTTAATTAACAAAGGTTTCGTTTTGGTATGTTGCTTCCATTCCTCTTGTCCTTACAGAAGACATTGTTCGATCTGTAAGAAACCAAAGAAGAAAGAGATTACACTTTTTAAAGAATTAGGGTGTTTCATGACAGATTACTCCAATTTACAACATATTTAACAATATATGAAATATATAAAGAGATTGATCTGAATACTTACATGATATCACGCTGCATTTTTACCAAGAGCTGTTCCTGGTTTGAGCTCAGAATAAACAGTTTCATCCGCTGGTGCAGGACTTGACTTCCCTATGAATTAAGAGATTATTATTATTTATTTTTTTACAGTATTCCCCCCAGTTAACAATGAAAATGTACTGGTATACACAATCCTCCGGTTCATTTGTCTTTCCTGTTAGAAGGATCAGGAGAAAGCATAAAAAGACAATACTTATTGCATGTTTTTGTTAGAACATAATTCAAATACTCACCCTTCTTAGAAATGTGTTTGAGCTCGAGCACAGAATATGTGACATCCATGGATTCATCTGAAATGTACAATTTATTTTATATTTAAAAGAGTGAACCTTGAATTGTCATATTCCAGTATTTATATGTAATATACTGTACCATTTGCAGGTTCTTCAGGGCCTTTGACTGTTTCATAGAGACAAGCATTATCTGAAGAGAAATCAAAATCAAACCAAATATATAGTAAAATCCATTTATATGAACTCTTACATTTTTTAAAACAAGTAATGAGAAATGGATATGCTACTCGGTTAATAACGTTAACAGTACATTCAAAAAATATTAAGGATTCAGGCTGACTCTGGAGAACAGAAGCATATTCTCTTTGGTTAGTTTCGTCTTGGTTGATCATGTGGTCTGTAGCAGGGCCCTGATTGGTCTTCTGAGATCTGGTGGGCAAAACACATGTAGTAAATGAAGTGGATTTATGAAAGGAACATATTACTGCTGTCATGTTCATAATAAAAAAAAGTAGAGTTTTGTACCAACCTGCTATAGCATGAATCTGTAAAAAAAAGAAGACATTTGCTGCTTTTTTATTTATGTGTATGTGATTACATTAAATTAAAGCTTATATCAGAAGAAAATGATCTTACCTTTTGACTTTCTGTATAAATACAGTAACAGCAGCAGGAGAATAATCAGTAAAACTCCACAAAGCAGCCCAACGATCGGAAGAACGGGAAATTGAGAGTCTTTTCCTGGTCCGGACGCTGCTAATTTAAGTAATCTTTATTAATATTATATCTCTAACACTTTCCTGTAATTCAGATGAAACTAAGCTTTCTATATCTCAGGCTGTAACACAGCTTACAAAAAAGGAAGGTTTTTTCTTTAAATCATACTTACATTTTACTGACAACCAACTCTCTGGTGACGTCCAACCATCTGCTGAATCTCTCTGTTTACATTTATAAAAGCCTTCATCTGACTTTGACACTGCAGAGATGGTCAGCTCGCTTCTGGTATCATTCTGGATGAGTTTGTCATTTTTATAGAAATCCACATTATAAACGGTTTCTGTCTTTAACTTGCAGCTAAGAGTGACAGGACGTCCCTCTGCCACAAGACGGACAGGACTCACCAGGATAATTTCACCATCTGAAAAAAAAATCAAAGAATATAAAGGCTTTATCAGAGACATCAGCTTTTGCAGATTTAATACGTTTAGGCACAATTGGTCTAGTCTGGCGGAAGCTGAAATGTCAGGTAGATGTATGAGAACATTAAAACACAGAATATTATCTTTGATCTTTCAGAGAAGTGACCCTGGACTTCACTTCGCATATTAGCCTTTTTTATTCATTTTGAAGATATGTTTGTACGGTGGCCGGCAGGTGCAAACGCGGAACAACGGCCCAAAACGCATACATATGCAGGAAACACCTGCAAATAATGAAATGAAAAACAAACAAACCCCGAAAACAAACGCAACAAAAAAACGCTGCAAATACCAAAACGATATGCAAAGTCCAAAGCACGTACAAAAAAAAAACATTCCGGAAGTGCTCCAGGCCTCTAGGGGGCGCGCTATGTGGAACAGATTGATGTATGACCAGACATAGAAGAGGCTTCTCAATACTCAAATTTCCCCTCCTCGACTCCTCGGTCCTCCGGTAGTGACCCGGAAATGAATTTCAGCACGCCATTTTGAAGGACGTCTCATTTCTCTAAATGCACACCAAGGACCGAGGATCGAGCATCGAGGAGGCTCTCTGGAGGAGCTATAACCGAGGATACACTGATGGTTCCTCCACGGCTCCTCCGCGGATGCATTTCCGGGAACGGTGGAGGCGTGACGCACGGCCGGACTTATCTCAGCCAATGACAGCTCTGCATGCATCCCCTGGATATTCTTTTAGAAACTGCTTTCATCGCGATGCGATGTTTCCAGAGAGAACAGCTGTGAGGTTCGTGCAGAAAGCAGAGCAGTGTGTATAATATATATCACTCAGTATAACAGGCCTACATTACTCTCTTTATTTGCTTTAGTTTAGTAGATATCTACAAACAAAGAGTCGATATTTTTCTAAAACCATTTAGTGCTTCACATAATAAAATACACAACGGCTGTAGCCTGATTATGCTTTAGGAGCTGTAGGTGCGTGTGGTACAGTGTGTAGGGTACAGTGTGTAGGTGTGTGTGTTGTACAGTGCGTAGATGTGGCGGACAGACGTGTCTCAGTTGGTTTGGTGTCCTCTGCTTACTTTTAATACTTGTAAATACAACTTTTGGTAATTTCAATTCCCCATTTCAGCGACCACAGAGAGGGGGGGGGTATATCCAGTCTCTGATTGTGTTACGTTATTATGAGAGTGCTCTCATACTTTAAATTGTATATATTTATATAAATATATTTGTGTGTGTGTGTGTGTCCGCATCTGTAGCCTGTTATTGTCTCATTATACCGCACTCTCAATTAATTCAAAGTAAATATATAAGTGGTCATGAACACATCTGTCCATCAGACAGAGGGCTGCTGTGCCTCCTGTCATCATTAATGGACGTCTCTTTAAAATGACCTCTCAGAGGAGAGGAGTTCTCATTTCTCTAACTGCCTGCTGCTTCCCCTTCTCTCTCCTCGGTTCCCCTCCTCAGTCCTCCGCTCGCATCTCCTCTGGGCGGGACTAACGGTACGTCCACACAGCAGCGCTCAAAAAATCTTGGAGGTGGGCGTATCTGAAGCTTGGGGATTTTTTGCGAGCAACGCGAATCTCCCGCCCCCGACATACAAAGCAATAGCAATGTTAAAACGAAGTAAACTGGATATAAAATCCCCAAACAGGCGAAAACCTACCAGTTTCACCCACTGTCTTTGCCACCTCCCTCCATGCCTGGTTCCTCCGGTTTGTATCCCGGTAAGTTAATAGGGACTGGTCATAAAGAACCGGGTGATTTGTTACCGCAATAACTAATTTCTCCTCCATTTTTAGGAATATAGAAAATGAACTGCGGTATGTCACTCCCAGCTTTCACGCGGTTTGATTGGCTAGCGCTTGTACTGTCAGATTTGCATAAACAGGATTTGATTGGCTGACGCTTCCACCTCAGCTTCAAAAGTTGAACATTGCTCAACTTTTGAATCCTGAAAATCCTGGAAATCTTCGCTTTGCTTCCCACAATGCAGTTCGGCGAAAAGTGAGGCAACGTGACGTCACCCCATTCAAAGTGAATGGGCTGAAGTGTTGGAAGATTTTTTTAACGCTGCTGTGTGGACGGGCCGAAGTCTCGAGGAGGGGAGTCGAGGAGGGGAAATTTAAGAATTGAGAAGCCTCTAGAGAGAACGAACAAGAGTGATGGAAATCCGGAGGAAAGAAAGTTCATTTAAGTGGAGAAAGATATAAGAAGGTAAGTTTTGTTTTGATACATAGAGCGTCATATTTATATAGCTAGCGTTAGCTACTACACCAGCTGAGGAGAGCTTCACGTGAAGAGAAGATAAAGTGAGGGAAGAACATTGTTAAAAGAGATGACAAATCAAGTGCAGGCAAATAACACGGGAGATAGTGAGTACCGCGGAAAAAGGACATTTGAATTCTTAGCAGTTTGTTTACTGTATATGTATGTATTTGTGTATGTTGCAATTATACAGAGCTTTAGCAATTGCCTGTAACTATGGTCATGCTAATAAAGCTATTGAATTGAATTGAGAGAGAAGTGACAAAATGTGAAGAGGGACAAAGTAATGACAGGATAGTAGTGTGCATTAGACATGCTCAAGAACAAATATAGAGAAGACATTCAAGGAGAGAGAGAGAGACAAAACACAGATTCAACGGTAAACATGATGTATCTTTCTATTTATTTATTAACCACTATTTAGACTATGTGTTTTTGATTGACTTGATTAAATGGATTTACTACATCAATGTATGTCTTTTCAGGCTACCATGTTTTGTCCTTTCTGTGGCCAACATCTGGGGACGGTTCAAGTGTTCTGTGACTCCTGTGGCAAACATGTACAGTTTTTGGCAGAAGTTGAACACAACAGTAAGTTCACTTTTTTCTGTTTCAAATGCAAGAAATAAGGATTCAACACACTACTCTGTTTAGAATACTAATTGGCAGATGCATACACTAGTTATCAGCATGAAGGACACGTTTCTTCATTGTCTGTTTATGTGAAATGTGTAGAAGCCATCATTAAATTGTAGACCAATGCATGATTAAATACACAAAACAGCTTATGTTATACATTCATAATTGTGTATTAGTTCTATCTTTATAGAGAACATTATACATTTAGAATCAGATTTTGAGACAGTGAGCGGCTGGGAAAGTCACACCGCCATGGGGCACAAATAGTTGCTGACGTGATGTTTTCTTCATTCTCAGGCATTCCATAAGGAGGGTCAGGAACTCACGCTTGGGACCACCAGTGTCCACTCCATCCTCAGTTTGTCCCTCATCATCAGTGAACTTAACTGACATCTCATGAGAGGGGTCGAATGCAACACACTCTCACTCCATAATCGTCCAGGAGCGACGTTTGGTCAGGGTCCCGTGGCGTGCAGTTGTGACGCTCCTAGGCTCCTTCAGCTTCATAAAGGGACGCAAATAGCTTTTAACTGATTGCAATGTATTCCCATCTGCGGCGGGATTTGACGCTCATGGAAGCACGGCATTCGTTTGTGTCGGCTGCCCTTAAAGGCAATGTGAGCGTCCATTCCCATTGGATAACGTCAAATCCCGCCGCAGATGGGAATACATTGCAATCAGTTGAAAGCTATTTGCGTCCCTTTATGAAGCTGAAGGAGCCTAGGAGCGTCACAACTGCACGCCACGGGACCCTGACCAAACGTCGCTCCTGAACGATTATGGAGTGAGGTGTGTTGTCGAATGAGGCACCTTTGAAGCCGCGGATTGCTCCATCCCACATATTGGCTCTATTAATATTGAACCTGCTGCAAGATGTATTTGTTATTTTTGCAGAGAGTTCTGCAACAATGTCCTCCGCAGTCAGGTATTCTGTGCTGGGAAAGACAAAGTGATGTATTGTAATATTAAATGATGAAGCTAGTAATAAGATTTACAGTATAGAATAGAACAATTAAGTGGTAATAGTAACAATTAATACCTTTGCTCCATTTTGTCTTCTGGCTCAGACTGGCTAAGTGGACACACATGTGTAGTTGCTGCAGTGAGAAGACAGTTGAATAATTATTTTCAAATACATAATATATGCATGACAGTCATATTTACAAAAGGATGTCGATCCTCTTCCTGGTTTATTTTCAATACATTGGGTTCTAAACTGACAACAGTACTTTTGTCATACTCCTGCACAATCCTTGTAAACATTTGAAATGGATGCAACAAACAATATCTGATCTTCGAAAAATATTTGTGGGTGTTTTTTGTATCGTCTTCACTAAGATGTCAGATGTTGTAGGTGTCATTTGGAAATGTATGAAAGTATAATTGTTCTGTTTCCTGGCAATGTTACCCACTGTGATTGGAGGCTATACAAACAAATGTAAAAATAAAGATACACACCAAACAACTGTGTCAAGATGCAACTGTCAACATCGTTTACCTATAGAAGTGGTTCTGACCCAGAACCAGACTAGACCTCTTCCTGGAATAGGGTTGGTGCTCTATCCTAATTTTACCCAGGAAATAAGTGCACACAAAAGGTATTTATTGATTTCATGTTCACAAATTCAAACCTACATGGTATAATTAGATTTTTAATTAGTCTTACCCGATCAGACGCTGGTTGTGGGTGCCTGAGAGGCCTGATAAAGGTAAACAACAAATATATTCAAACTACTATACTGTTAAAACATTCTGCTTCTTGTGGCACAAAATAATATGTTGACAATGTTTTATTTTACCCTGGCAAACTGTTGTCCATTCGTGGAGTGCTCACTTTTGGAACATTTGGAATGTCCCACACCTGCATACACACAAATGACTGACTGAAATAAAAATAAATTCACTTTAATTAAGAATAAATGCCACGATAAATCCAAACTGACCAAGGTACATTATATTGTTGACCGTCCTTTAACTCTCACATTAGGATTTACATTGGGGCACAATAAACCAACTCCTCTCTGCACCTATAATATATCTATATGATGTCAAGAGTTACATTTAGGTGCACAGTGCTGTCTCTTGACTTGCAAGCTCTTTTACCAAACAAACTAACGCTAGCTGGGTAAATATGACGCTCTTTGTATCAAAACAAAACGTACCTTCTTATATATCGACTTTTTCCACTTCGATCAACTTTGTTTCCTCCGGCTTCAATTTGCAGCACTCTTGTTCGCTTTCTTTATGTCTTGTCAGACATCAATCTGTTCCACGCAGCGCGCCACCTAGAGGCCTGGAGCACTTCCAGAAAGTTTTTTTTTTTAAATGTGTTTTGGGATTTGTATGTGCTTTGGACTTTGCATATCGTTTTGGTATTTGCAGCGGGGTTTTTTTGCGTTTGTTTTCGGGGTTTGTGTGTTGTATTTAGTTTGCATCATTTCTGTAAATGGAGCGTTTTTTGGTTGTATTTGTTTTCAGGATTTGTTGTTTTTCATTTTAGGATTTGCAGCTGTTTCCTGCTGATGTATGCGTTTTTGGGCGTTGTTCCGCATTTGCACCTGCCGGCCACCGTACATTTGGCTAATGCATGTCACCTTCACATTGCAAAACAACATATTTCTTCAGAAACAAACATTTTAAATAATTAAAACTCACCATCTTTAGTGATGTTGACTGCATTACTAAACTGTCCTGTTTCAGACTCACACCAGTACACTCCACTAAACCGGCTTCTGGTTATTGTGCATGTGGATCCAGTCATTGTCCCCCAGGAAGAACAGTGACGAAGGTTGTTATATTTTGAAAACCTCCTCACTCTCCACTCAGTGGAGTTTCCCTCGCAGCTCAGCGACACAGGCGTTTTGGTGAAGTGCTGCACACTGTCAGGACTCACTGTGAGAGACGCTGCTGAGTTAATATCTGAAACACAAAAAAGTGACAAACAAAGCATTTATGTTTATTGAAGGCAACTTGAACATTACAAAAACAAGAAGCATTTCATCAACAATAAAGAGTGAGTGTCTAATTAATTCATGTAATGCATTTTTTAGAGAGTTGCTGAATGTAAAGAATTTGGAGTTGTTTGTAACATTGGTGAACTTTTATGTAAAACATGACCAAAAGGCATACAAAATATCTCAAAACTCACAAAAGAGTTCAGGGCTTCAAACCAGTACCACAGCTTACAATTGACCTGGTCCTTGTGTGAAGTAAAGGTTACCAAAATAAGGGAACTAAAAAAAAAGTCAAATCATACTGACCTCCAGACAAGACGAACACAAGTTTGCTGTACCAACTGTAAAACACTGGATCTCCTCTTCCTGCTGTGCACACATATCCTGCTGTGTGTGTTTGTCCATCAATGATGAAGAGATCCTGTTCAGTCCCATTCTCGTTGCCAGCTAGCAGCTCATAGTTGTAGGAGTTGCCTGACAGTTGGGGAACAGCCTTATACCAGTAGAAGCTCCAGCCAGCAGAAGGATGATCAACACTGCAGTTCATAGTTACTGAGGCTCCAGGACTCGGCCATGATGGAGACACAGTGAGGACAGGCTGAGGTCTTTCTGTTGGAAAGTGATTTAATGATAACGTTATGATTTATGATTGTATGGGTAACATACACTCCTTGCATCCTACATATTTTCTACAAACCTGTAAATCACATTCAAGGGTTAACTGTCCTTACTATAATAACAAAATAAAATCATATTTGTATTTACAGCAAAACAAAAGTAAACTGATGATGTATGACTTACCGTTAGATACTGTCAATGTGAAAACATCACTCCACAGCGTTTCAGACATTTCACCTTTCAGTCTGCCCATACACTGGTATTTCCCACTTCTTGATGAAGGAGCAAGGTGAGATTTCTGAGGTGTGTTTGACCCAGGTGTCCTCCAAGAAACTTCCCACTCATAGTCTCCTCCATCCTCAATTTCACATGTAAGAATGATCGTTTCTCCAGAATATATTTCAGGCCATTTGGGTTGCAGGGTCACAACGGCCCTGTTTGTGACTGTTAACCATCAAATTAAACAAAGGCAATGTTAAACATAAAACATAGAATTGTTTGTGTCAAATACATCATTTGCTTTCTGTATGACATAATATTAGGTGTTTTAATTACCGACTGCATCGCTGTACTCTGTGTAGTAAACAGGGTTTCCTCTTCTTCCTCTGCACCAGTAGACGCCTCCTCGTGAGACACTGATTCGGTCATTTGTGAGGAAAACAACATCTTGTGTCTTCAGGGGTTCAGAGGTGTTCCCTTTTTTGTACCAGAAGTATCTCCAACCAGAAGCTGATGATAGTCCTACAGAGCAAGTTAGAGTCACATTGCCCCCTCCTGGAGATATGTCTCTCAGCTGGGCCTTTGGTTTTGCTGTTTAATGTAGAATAAAGGTAACATTTTTTACAAGATGTTAGTTATTGTCCCTGTAAATAAGCCTTGCTTGACAAATAATACAAATGTATAATACTGTATATCTTATCCAGCACTCTTAGTAATATTATATCACTGTGTATGTTATAGTGAAAATATAGAGAAATAACTATGCTTATATTTATAACCACTGAAGTAGTTGGTTAACCTTGAGTATAAACGGCCATAAAACGGGGTGAAAATGTAAAAAGCCTTTTTTTTTCTTTGTTCATTGTCCAGTGTTTCTAAGATTAGGCAGATAATATAATTATGTTTCATTTTGGGTTTACTAAATGTCTGAAGCTTTTAGGTATATAAACTACTTACTTTCAGTTCTCAGTGTTATTTGTTCAGATTCTTCATCGCCAAATGTACAACTGTAAGAGCTCCCGTCTGACATTACTTGAACTGTGTTTTTTGCCATTAATGGTGACCGGTGGTTTCTGTGTGTTGTGATTAATGATCCGTCTCTGTAGAAGGCAGCATTCTCCTCTCTCTGAGTACGATGCCGACAGCGCAGAGTCACTGATTCTCCTTCAAACAAAGTGGACACAGGAATTTCCAGGATCACGTTTCTATCTGTGTAACACAAATGATTCATTATAATAGTATAACAACTAAATTAATAACACATTAGTACAAACAAATACTTCCAGTTATGAAGAATACATTTTCACATTTCATGAAAAAGGAATACATTGTTACCTGCACCGTTTGAATAGTGTTAAGCACATTAAGGTGGATTAATTTCTCGAATATATTGGTCTCTCTTCATAATTTGTCACAATTAACAAAAGTATAACAAGGTTTGTTGGTAAAGTATTATCTTAATGTAAATGCTTTGATGTAAGAAGCTGAGTTTTGTAAGAGGTATTTTTCTTCTTATTTGAATACTCTTTAATTTGCAATAACACAAAGCACAGGATTGTATAGTATACTTCACCTGCCTATACAGCGTCAGTGGAGCTTTTCAAATGTTAAAACTAGGGCCGAGACTTTAACGCGTTAATTAAGATTAATTAATTACACAAAAATTAACGCATTTTAATCGCACTTATTTTTGCACCGCGGAACGTTTCTCACTGGATGAGTTTCAGGCGTACCGATTATACTGGAGCACCAACTAACGTTCATGACTTCAGACAACAACAAACCACAGTGAACAAGTGGGAAATGTTGTTTTAAAAAACGGACGGATGGAAGCATCGATAAGAGCACGGTTGTGTGCAAATTATGCAAAAAGGAATTCGCATATCACCGCAGCACATCAAGCCTCAAGTATCACCTCAATGCAAAACATATAGCAGCTAGCGTGGACGTTAGCCTCTTTTATCGCGTTCACACCAAAAAGAGCCGGTACTAAAATTAGTTCATGAGAACCTTTTTACCCCCACGAAAGTCCCTGCTAGAGAGCAGAGAGCTGCTAGAGAGCAGGGACTTTCGTACGGCTCTCTTGTGAGAAAAGAGCTATATTTCTGATTGGCTGGGTGGATTGCAAACCACGCCCCGTAAAACTCCCAAAAAGTTTTGTGAAGCCGCCATTTTATTATCCTCGCATTAGCATTATTAGCATTAGCCCAGCGCAGAAACGCAGAGAGACTAACTTATGGCAACACAAAATAAAACATGGGAGCGGTGGAGATGAGGAGGTGTTGGCGTTCTGGCGATTTACTCGGAAGGCTGCTGGGACTCCCAGCAGCTTCTACTGAAGCCAGTCCCCAACTCCGGGGACTTCCGGCCGGGGACTTTGGGCGGCAGTATACGACGTGAAGTGGTTTGCGGCCTGCCAGTAAAACCAAAGCAGAAGAAGAAGAAGTGCCGTCAGTGGCTTCATTTGCCTAATCCACCCTCAGGTTCAAAGAGTTCTCATGAACTAAATTCTCATGAACCTTTGTGGGAAAAGTACTGCGGTGTGAATGCGCCTAATGGTATACTAAAATACTTGTGAAAAAAATTGCTTCTCACTGTTCTCAGGTCAAATATTTATGTGATTAAAAATGTGATTAATTTCGATTAATTAATTACAAATCGAGTCCCGGCTCTAGTTAAAACATTAAAATAATTTACAGATTATATATTAGAACTTGTCCAAACTGCGTGTTCATATCAACATGTCCAGCAGTGGCCAGTTCAAGTCCCCGACCAGACCTAATATGTGGAGTGTGGACTGCTACTTGGAGAGGTCCCAGTTCCCCTCCTGCCCTGCTGTGGTGCCCTTGAGCAAGGCAACGGACACCCCCCTTCCCCCCTCACTCCCATTGCTCCCCGGGCGCTGTGCAATAGCTGCCCACTGCTCCTAGTGCTAGACTCCTGGTCAGTGGCGGCCGGCCCATAGGCGCGCTAGGGGCACCGCCCCACCTCTTCCCACATACAAAATTAAAAATTAAAATAAATATATATTTAAAAAAATATTTTTTTATTTTATTTTTATTTTTAATAAACAAGGTAAATATTATATAATTGGTATCAGTAAAATGTATAATCTACAATAAAATCTCGTTTAAAATTGTGTTACGACGATGTCTAAAGTTACTGATAAGTCACATGTTTCCTGCCTGGCCTTGCCCATGTGTCATTACCTTTATATATACAGTCTGGTCATTACCCTCTCTCGTCTGGGCGGTAAGAAAGGAGCCCTCAACCAGTGCAGCAGCAGCCACTAGCAGCTGACTGTTGCTATCTGTAAACTATGATGCCGAAACATAATTTCAGCCAATCAGCGTCGTCAAATCTGATGATCACCGGGCGCCAATGTCAGCGCCCGGTCCAGTCTGTGAGTAGTTTGGACACTAGTGACTCGTATCCGGTGGGGTGACGCAGTACGGCAGTAGTTAATGAGGATGGCTTCATGTGCAGGTGGAGTCTCCGGACCTCGGTCTACACCCAATTCCGTTCAAGAGCTAATCTCCAATCCTTTCGAAAGGAGAAGTTTGGGAGATAAACTGTTGCTTAAAGACCTTGAACCGGACCAACCCAATTTGTATATATCGCAGCAAGCTCGTGAAAAAGACAAAACGTATCAACGAGGCTTCTCACGCAGCTGGTACACCAGAAAGGCATGGCTAGCTGGATGCAAACAGGTAAATGCTGTCTTTTGTTTCCCATGCTTGCTCTTCAAACAGCCGGGGACAGATACGATGTGCCCGTGGACTGTGACGGGGGTAAACGATATGAAGCATTTGTCCGAAAAAATTAAAAAGCACGAGTGCACAAAGTTACATATGACAAGTACCTTCAAGCTAGCCATGCTAGGCAAAGCTAACATAGCATAACAACACAGCCGTTAGCTCTGTTCAGAAACTAGACAAAAGTTAAACAAGTACAAACCACATACTGTCTGTGTCATGACGAATACAGTCGCTGGTTTATTTATGTCTGTATAGTCCGTTGTTGTGAGTGTGGACGGTCGGAGCATATATAACGTTAGCTTAGCCAAGCTTCATTTAGAAAACACGCATTTTAAAAAGGGTTTTTCACCTGCCGTCTGTCTGCAGACTTGTCAAAGCATTAATTCATGGTTTTTACTATCCGGTTTCAGTATGTTGTTACTTCGGCATCATTTTGAAACGTATATTACAATTAAATCACGGTCAAATATGTTCATCTTTTTGTAGTTGTAGCCCCCTTGCCAGCGATTCTCTCTCTAGTTTAGCATACTCAGCCCGACTCAGCCTGGTTGTTCCTGGCCCTAGAACCACGATTTTATGGGGCCAGAAAACTGTGAATTAGGACCCGCTAGCCGGTACTAGGCCAAGTGGAAACGCAACCAAAAACGGGCCCCGCACGGCTCGGCACGCTTAAAGCGAGCTCCGCGCTGCAGTGGAAATGAGCCATTACATCACCAGAAGTCTTAATTTAAGGGGTAATTTCTCCCAAAAAAAAATGTATTACTCACTATATCAACAGCCCCACCAAAAATATTTTCCACCAGCCGCCACTGCTCCTGGTACTAGGATGGGTTAAATGCAGAGGCCAAATTCCACTGTGTGTGCTTTGCATGTGTGACCATTAAAATATGGTTTCATCCCTCCCAATTCTATCTATTAACATGGCTCCTTAATTAAAATAAATTGCTTTTATTGAACATGGTCATGGTGGTATGACTTTGATCACTTACCCGATACAGTTAGATAGATTGTATTGCTTCTTTTTGTTGATCCCCCATGCTGAAACAAGCACTGGTATTCACCACTGTAGCCTGAAGTTAGAGGTTGTAATGTTCTGAATTTTTTATTGCTGGGAGAGAAAACTTCTCCATGCTGGTTGTGGATTGAGTAATACCAGTCGCTGTCTTTGCCTCCTGTAATGTCACACTTGAAGGTAACAGACTCTCCGGTAAAAAAAGTTGTCCAGTTTGGCTCAATGGTCAGCACAGCATCTAGAAACCATCACAAGATACATGAATTAAAATGTGTTTTCTTTTTGTCAAAACATTTATAATTCATTGACAAAACGGAACACACAAAAAAGAGGATGTTGTTTGGAGAGTTACAGTTGCAAGAAACAGTATGTGAACCCTTTGGATTCTCCACACATAGCGTTGTGTGTTCCTTCCAAACAACTCAACTTTGGTTTCATCTGTCCACAGAATATTTTGCCAGTAGTGCTGTGGAACATCCAGGTGCTCTTTTGTAAACTTCAAACGTGCAGCAATGTTTTTTCTGGACAGCAGTGGCTTCCTCCGTGGTGTCCTCCCATGAACTCCATTCTTGTTCAGTGTTTTACGTATCGTAGATTCATCAACAGAGATGTTAGCATGTGCCAGAGATTTCTTTAAGTCTCTAGCTGACACTCTAGGATTCTTCTTCACCTCATTGAGCATTCTGCACTGTGCTCTTGCAGTCATCTTTACAGGACGGCCACTCCTAGGGAGAGTAGCAACAGTGCTGAACTTTCTCCATTTATAGACAATTTGTCTTACTTGACTGATGAACATCAAGGCTTTTAGAGATACTTTTGTAACCCTTTCCAGCTTTATGCAAGTCAACAATTCTTAATCGTAGGTCTTCTGAGAGCTCTTTTGTGCGAGGCATGGTTCACATCTGGCAATGCTTCTTAAGAATAGCTAATTCAAAACTGGTGTGTATTTTTTATAGGGCAGGGCAGCTTTAACCAACACCTCCAATCTCGTCTCATTGATTGGACTCCAGGTTGGCTGACTCCTGACTCCAATTAGCTCTTGAAGAAGTCTTTAGCCTAGGGGTTCACATACTTGTCCCACCCTGCACTGTGAATGTTTACATGGTGTGTTCAATAAAAACATGAAAACATATAATTGTTTGTGTGGTATTAGTTTAAGCAGACTGTGTTTGTCTATTGTTGTGACTTAGATGAAGATCAGAACACATTTTATGACCAACTTATGCAGAAATCCAGGTAATTCCAAAGGGTTCACATACTTTTTCTTGCAACTGTACATAGGTCGATTTTACTTTATTTGGTAAACAAAAAGAAAGAAAATGGTATAATTACCTTGAGCTTGTCCACGGTAAAGTAAACTCAGCACTAAAATAAGTTTGAAACTACATCAGACATTATTAAAAATTAAAGAAATTAAACATATCATAGCCTCAGGCATTTATAAAGATGTAACAATTGAATTTAAAACTGTAAAAGTACTCACAGAAAAACCCCAGCACACAGAGCAAAGTGAGTCCCATCTTCACATCCAACACTGATAATCTGCTCCTCTGTTTATGAGAAAGTGACAATGACATTTTGGAAAAGGAAGTTGTTTTTTATCTTCTTTACACGGCCTGGGCTTCCTTCCCCTTTAGACAAAGCTAACAAAACAGAGCGGCTCTAATATCACCAAATGTACAACAAGGTTCGAGCCACATGATCTGAATCAGACATGTAACAAATAATGTTGTAGTACAATGTTTTACACTAAATAGAAGTACACAGAAAGTAAGCATACATACATTGTCATACTCACTTTATAATCCATGGGCTTTCTCACCAAAACAGAACATTTCATATGAAAATGTGTGTGTTAAACAGCCTGTATCACAAAGTTAGACAGTGTTGCATCCAATCACATATTTTGTACATCTCTAGGAGAAATTCTAGTTTAATTTTAGAAACAGCGTCACCCACAGGAAGTGTCTCATGTGTCTTTCCAGATGTGAGTGTAAAGAGCCAAAGTCCTGCCCCCTCCTCTAGAGATATATCTACTTTATGGGGTCATAAGTAATAAAGCCATAATTTGGATATGGAAAATATTTTAATTCTAGGTGCGAATTGGATCACAACAGTTTTACAAAGCCGACGAAAATGATCAAATTCAATAAATACAAAAAGACTAGTTGTGTATTTTAAATGTTGTCATCCAGGGATTAATGTAGCTAAAAATAGTGAGAAGTCAAAATGTAAAGCTTTAGTATTTAACTTAATTTAATGTCTTCACCCCACCCAGGCAGCAGTGCAAAGCTAAGGAGGTGAACAGTATCAGTCAATTGTGCGTTCACTACTTGTCAAATGAACAATGTAGGATCCCTGTACTGTGTATTCAACTTCTGAAATTACTTAACATGCTCAAATGTAAGTCCTAAGAGAAAATACATAACATTTAAAATCAAAATAGGGATTTAGTTACCATTTTTCACTTATAATACCCAAAGAGCTACGGTTCACTGCTTTGTATTGAGGTCTTTTTTAAGTGTGTTCGAAATCAAATATTTGCTGTTTTTTTATTGATCAGGATTGAATGCTTTGTTTGAACTACAAGCATGTTACAAAGATACTACTTATGCGTGTGTAAATATTTGTGACAAGCACATGAGAAATTCCAGTATGTTTTCAGTTAAAGGTGGGGTAGGTAATTTTGGAGAAACCAGCTCGAGTGCGCTAGAATTTGAAAATACACAGCCGGAAAAAATCTGCCACTTCCTCACAGAGCCCCTCCTCCAACACACACGAACGCGCACATGACCAATGTGGGCACGAGATAAGTTTGTGCACAGATGGAAGGCTGACAGGTAGGTAGGCCGTCCAGTTATTTTAGCCGGGCCGGCTAAAATGATTGGTCGTGCTTTTTACGTTTTTTTTAATGGATTTATTGTCAAAGCATTTAATATATTCAGGATGTTAAGAGCATTCCATGGAATATGACAAAAAGTGTTTCTGAAATAAATGACATACCCCACCTTTAATATTCGTTTCAATAGAATAATTTGTATAATTGAATAAAAAACTAAATGTAATTTAAGGTAGCTTTTTTTATTAAAAACAAAAACAAAAGGCTTAACATAATGCTCTGAAAGAAATCAAACACACTGTACAAAAGATGTATCCTCCAGTTTTTGGGTATTCTGAAAATCTTGTCTGACCTATTGGTGGTGCTATGACTTCACATTTGTTTTCTTCTGCAACAGACAGTACACCGTGTCGACTTGCGAAGGTTGCTCCTGTGAAGTTGTTGCCTCAAGTTTTGCCTGATGTCCTATAGTTTCTTCACTGCTTTTGCCTTGATGGGATGTTGTATTGTTTCTCTCTAAAACACTGTAGACTGTATCCACTTCCCGCTTAGATCCCAGCTCCTCTCTTGGGCTGATGTTTGGGCTGCTCGTCTGACAGGGCAATGCATCATCCACGTTTTCATACCAGGCTTGACTGGAAGTAGAGGAAGAGACACTCGGCACAGAGTTTGGCTGTTCCTCCGCTGGCTGGCTTTGTATTATCCGAGCAGGAGATGTCTGTGACAAAAAGAAAAGGCAGTAAAATGTGTTTTTTTGTATTGCAAAATCAATATGTAGCATACTAAGATAAACACCTCCGAGCGTCTCAAAACTCTATATCTTGAGGAATCTAGAGAAAGGTTTTAGTGGCATTGACCTGAAAACATTGGATTCAAATGGAATAAACAATATTCTTACATCCCCAGATAAATAAGTAAATCTTACCTGTTTTTGATTACATTCTGTTTGAAAGAGCCTTTTAGCCACACAGACAGCAAATGCACAGAGGGATACACACAATGCAATACATATAAGTATTACAATGTGTAGTTTTAATGTTACTTCAGGTTCAGGATTAGATTTTCCAAAGCCTGGAAAGACATAGAAACACATTTTAACAGATAATACCTGCAACGACAGGTATTAAATGGATGAGGTGGTGGTTCAAAAATGTAGAAAAAAAGACCTGCATACATATTTTCTGGATTCAAAGTGTATGATTAACAAATAAAGAATCACAAAATACTTACACATTCCCTCCATGCTTTCAGAAACATTGCTCTTGCTGACATTGTTGTTGCCACTGCAGACAATAACTCTGTTGTGGAGGAAGATGGTGATGTTGACCTTGCTGAATAATGATCTCTGAGATATTGTGCAACTGTTGTTGTCACACACAGAACACACCCAGTCACCCTGGATGGAGCAGTTGACTGTGATGTTGCAGGGGTCAGCAGACAGGTTAAAGTGCAGCGGGGAACTCCTAATGAAAGGCCTGGGAACAGTTTCTGAAAAAAATTAATAGGCATTAGATCAGTTGTTGGTAGTAAGAATCGCAACACAATGTTCACAATATGAAGTGCATATTTACTAAAGAGAATATCGATATATAATTGCATTGTTTTTTTTTGACATAATGTATAAATGTAATACCTGTCCACTCTATTTATCTACAATGCTCCAGCATTTTCTAGTGCTGATATTGGAAAGCTTTCGTGACCCAAGCTTTCCATCAGACATTTTAAAGATAAGACCGAAAACCTATATAACCAAAGTGGCTTAAATAAGGGGGGGAAATACAACTCCTTAGAGAGTATGTGAAATTATTCTTTTACAATAAACAGGGATGTACAAAGGCAACAGGATGCAAAAATGGTCAAAGTCATATAGATAGTTTTACTTGGATCTTCATTTGATATTTATTTGTTAACTGGACTGTAGACTTTTTTTAAACCACAAAGACAAAAAGGTAAATGTATTTTAAAAAGGGGCGGGTGATAAAAACATGTTGTTTATGTCGTAGATGGTTAAAAAAAAGTCTTAAAGCCAGTCTTGAAGACAAAAATGTATCCTTAAGAGGCGTATTGTAATGTTAAATAATGAAATGTAAAGCCCATAATAAACCAACTAAAGTCAACAAAATATTAAGAACTTACCTTCAACAATCAGTTTGTGGGTCTCAGTTTGTCTTTTCAAAACTGAATTAATGAAAGAAAAGGAATAGGTGCCGCTGTCTGTCTCATTGAGCTTGGTGATACACAAGGAGGAGTTTTCTGGATTATAATACACTTTGTCCTTGTACATAGGGGTGATGTTTTTACTTAAAACAATAAGCTCCTTTTCAAAAAGCCACTCCTCTTTTTGATATCTTGATGATTTTATGTGTAGACATAATGAGCTGTTTTTCACGCGGTAGTGCATCGCTAGCGGAATCTCCGCTGTAATCCCTGAAAGGAAACATTCAATAAAATCATAAATTGTCTTAAATGTCATTAGAGCCAAATACCTAAAAAAAGATTTTATGCAGCAATAATGTGACCTAAAATAAACATAGATACATAAGCATAAAGTAAAATAAATCTGATCATGTACCATGGTGAGACTTTATTTTACATGAGAAATACTAATGTTAAGGCAATTATGATTGATTTAAATGTTAAGGAGAATACTAAATATTTCTTTAACTGAGCTTAGAGACTAATAAAGATGCTGTTGTTAATCAACTTTGCTTTCAAGATACCAAACCATTTACAGTTCAGGAAGGGCCATTATCTACAATACTCTGGTGGACACTTTAGGCTGTAAAATGCCAGCAGAAGTGCATTTCTAAAGAATAAATGTATCTTTAAAATCCTATAGAAAATGGCAGAGCTTTAATTTAAATAACCTCAGAAACAGAAGCTTTATGAACTGTCAAAATGTAATATATTTCCTACATTAATTAAAAAAGACACTAAAGTCTGCATATGTTAAATAAGATGTTACGCTTTTTAACACGGCGTTAAAGCATGTTTCATGATAAAATTCCATTCAAATTGTTAAAATGTGTAACCCTAACATGCAAATAGTAAAAAAAAAAAATTGTCTTACCTGCAATAATCCAGGTAAAACTCAGAAGCAGAAACATTTTAATCATCGACAGGAAATGTTAACGTTAGCGAAACCTTTGACGGTTAAAGACAGAGTGCACAGACCATGAACGCAGCAGAGAAATGTTGGCAGAAGAACAGCAGGAAATGGTAACCAGCAACCTACTTTGAATACATGTGATTGAAGCAGATGAGGCAAAATAACTTAAAAACCTTAATTCAGGCCTAGTAATTTATTATCCTTTAAATAAACTAACCCAGAGACAGCATTATTATAACTCAAACATATCAATAAACTTCACCAAAAGGCAAAACAAATTAACCTCACTATCAACACACATCAAAAATGTGAAATAGTCAAAACCTTATTGTGCCAAAACGTGTGTGGGTTTATAGACAAAGAATAATGAAACCTAATAATCTAGCAAAGGTGGGAAAGATGCTCAGATGTTGTACTTAAGAAAAGAAGAAGTGAGAGTGTAAGCATACTCTGTTACAAGTACAAGTTGGGTATTGAAAATGTTGGTCAAGTAAAAGTATAAATCAAAATATACTTAAAGTCCCAAAAGTATAAGTACTCATTATGCAGATTGGCTCATTTCAGAATAAGAATATATAATATGTTTTGATAATAATTATATATGCATTAATCTGTTTATCAAAGCTGGAAAATGTGTAGCTAGTTTTAATTACTTTGTACACTGCAGGGTAGCTTGTGAATTTAGTTTATCAAAACACTGAAATACTCAAGTACAGTACAAGTCCCTTGAAATTGTACTTAGGTAATTGAGTAAATATACTTAGTCACTTTAAACCACTGCAGTCTGGCATACAAAATCAAACAACCAAATGTTAGATTATTTTGTGGGTCCGGAATTTACTTTTTTCTTAAATGTTTTTGCTCCATCTAATTGTTTTACTTTAGGCCTGGAACCAATGTAAAGTACTTACAATTATTATTTTTTACAAAATATTTTTGCATTTAATACAACTTTTAGCAATAAATTCAGTTTCACGTGCCAACGAAGCTCACTTCATCAAATAAAATACTCTTTAGTCTTTTATAGTATCATTTGTTTTTGCCGGCAATTCAAACAGGAACTACATTTGTTTTAATACAATGAATATTTGTTTTATATTCTAAACTGCTGAAGGTCTTCCAAAATAAAAAGAAAGGTGTAGAATAAAATGTATTTTCATCTGAAAACGTGTCAAAGGCCAAAACATTTGCTGTGGTTTCAGACCTTGAATAAAGAAATCAAGAAAATTAGCTAATAATAATGTTTTAACCCCGATTGTAAATCCAACGAGAACTTACTGAAATAAGTCTGGAAACTGAGGAGCACATTTTCTTCATGTCTTAAAACAGTTAACCACAGTGTAGTGATGTGCTCTTGTTCATTTCCGTTAAGATTGTCTTTACTCACCAATCAAGCACAGATTCTTGGTGTTCTTCTTGTCTATAAGAGGAACAAGATGTTAGTCTTACATCTTTTTATTTCTGTAATGTGTTGAACAGCATATAAAACTCCCTGTATTTAGTCTTAACTGTCAATAATGTACATAAGCTATTTAATATGTAATTCTGCACACTTGACCGAAATGTGTTAATCAATAATACAAATATTTATCATGTTTATGTAACAGTTTTACATTAAGCTTGTATCTGTCAAGAAAACCTAAAT